GATCCTCAGTCCAACTGGCCACACAGCTGCTCGAGTGCTCACACTGGCAAAAGGGAGGCAGCAGGGTGGCCTCTCTCAGGGACAGCTCAGTTTTAGGTTACTTTAAGCTGGTTGCAAAACCATACCCGTATCTTCAGAGGAATGGAGCCTACACAGAGCCATATGGTTTAATAAATGACAATCTAACCAGTCTAACCACAGCCAGTACAAATTAATCCAAGTTTTGTCATCTGCTTTCACTGCGGTCAAACAAGTGGTATCTTTGCACCACTAAACATTCACTTCTAAACTGCCAGTCAGGAAATTCATAGCTATTGTCTATCTGGAAAGCTCCCTTTTCATTTCTTTCCCAAAAAAAAGGTTAGTGCAAAACATCATAATATGTACTTTTCACTTATAGGAGAGTCCAGTGCACACTGTTTACTCGGTTGTCTGTGTAGAGGCCCATTACGCATAAATCAGTGCAGAGAAACAAAGGATTGTTTTATTACACAATGAAATTTTCCAAAAAGGATCTTAATTTCCTGTTCAATAAATGGCACCATTGTTTACTTGAAACAGATACGCTAAGAGGCCTGGAGGAATTTTGTTTTTAGGAGACGGACTTGCCATCATGATGAGTAAGAGTGTTGCATAGTTCTTGACAATGTCAATTAAAATGTATTTTGATTTGAAGGTAATTGGCAAAATGCTATTTCAAAGCTTGACAAATTTTCCAAATGGCAAAATCTGAAATGAGTCCAGTTCTTGGGATAATTTTCAGATTGCTCAAAAGTATTGCTTAATATCAACAAGAAACCAGCTATGAAGAAGCTCTGTAAATTCCATGCTATTAACGGCTGTGCATTTCATATACAAATTAGCAGACCTGACAAGATGTGTCAACATCTTAAATCCCTCAAATTTTGTTACCCTGATTAGCAAGATATTAGTGAGCAAAAAGACTACTCTTAGTCTTTTTCTATATGAACTCACCTGCCAAATCTTCTCAATTGCTTTTTCTCAACCACAGTATCTATGACCTTTCCACCTTCCAGGCCACTCTCACCTCCTAAAGACCTCTATGGACATTCATCACCTTCCTCCTTTTTGTTTACTTCTCTGAGATGCATCTGTCCACAGGCCACTGAACTTCCCACCAAACCTTTCTGGCTTTCCCTGTTCTTAGTCTCATGCTCTTACCTGCCCAGGGACACACAATGCCTCAGGTGCAAAATTAGGTTCTGCCATTCCAAGGATAATTTATTTTGAAATTACATCTAATTCTGTGTGGATTGTTGAAGGGGCAAGTTTAAGCCAATTTAAGAGGAGAAAGATAAAGCTGAAAAATGTTGCAATTGTATTACAATACCCAAGATGCAACACTCAAGACCTTTGTCTTGAATGAGATCATATTTCCATTTTTCGACCCTGTGTGGAGCAGAACTGACCTGTTCTACCATAGCACATGACAACACCTTGTCATCCAGTAGCTCAGATTCTCTGCTGTATGCAGATTTTGCTGTTTGCAAGATGGGATGAGTGAGAGGATTGTCAAGCAGCTGGTTGTGGTTCCAGATTCTCCAGTTGAATCAGTGCTTGTCTGGACAGCTCTAAGCAGTACCAGCTGCTAATAGTTCCCCTTGGGATCATTTTCTAATTGCAGATTACCAGACACAGCAGGACATCTCTTTCTTCTCCAGGGGTAATTCTTATGCTGGGATGGAAGGGAGGAGATTTATGAACCAAATAAACTGTGAACTGTCAGTGTGGCAGAGACAACTAATCACTTCATGAAGATCTGAGAGATTTCTGATACTTCAGTGCTCTTTCTTGCAGGGAATCTATCTTTTGCCATAGTAATATCAGCCTGTTAACTCATCAGCGCAAATATTATACACCAGAATGACTTCACTGATGTTTTTCAGGTGATTCCTGTCTGGGTTTATGCTAACCCAGGACTGTGCTGTTCTATCAAGTTCACGTGTCTGTGTCATCAGTTGTACTGAACTCACTTGCCTGGTCCATCTCACTTGAGAAAGCCTCTATCTTGTGATTTTCCCCCAGAGAAATCTGATTGTCAGGTCTTTAACGTTACATCAATGTAAAGAACGTGTAGCTGTATGCCTAGGATGTGATTTCAGATGAGAGTTTCAATAGCAGTGGTGATTCTTAAAAACTTAATATTTGTTAGTGATCTCTTTTTGAATTCCTAGCCAAAAAGATTTTGACACTTCAGTTATAATGTGGTGCACCTATTTTTTCTTACTAATCTTTGGAAAGTGCAGGAATCCTGCATGAAAGATGACAAAATACTGATTAGGATTTCAAATCCCAAGGCTCTCCAAAGCCACAAATTTTTCCAGAAGATCCTTTTTGCTGCTGTTGCCTATCTCAACTGTGTCTGTGAAGCATCAGCCTTAGGATGGCACCTAATAATGCGTGAAGAGCTGTTCGTACCTGTTGCTTGTGGCAGGAATTTCTGTGGCTGGCACTAGAGGGCAACGCCGCTGCTCTCAGCATCGCTGAGCCCCTGCCAGCTCCCTGCTGACATCCCAGCTGCTGAGCTCACATAAAGACTTTCGGGTTTTTCCCCACAGATACCACGCTCAAGTGCTAACCTAAACAATTACCAGTTGAATACTTTTGAATGTCCGGTCCGGAATGACATCGAGAGGAGAATAATGCTTCTTACAGCAAGAGGAGCTGGCTTCTCTGTGTATGCCACTTCTTCATGAGGGTCACTGCTCACTGCAGTGTGAGAACCACTGCAAACAGTTTTTGATTTTGAGCTACTGATGCTAACGGGAGATTTACTGCTAGTTTAGTTTCATTCAGGATTTGATATTTGGTACTGACTTTTACCCACTACTTTAGTGTTATACACAATATTAATAGCCCAGGCTGGTTTAAACTGACCTCGTAAAAAGCAATTCAAGTTTATCTCTGAATTTTGTGCAGGCTGCGGGGGGAGGAATGTTTTTTAATTCTGTCACATGTAACTCAAATATTGCCAAACAGGCTGCCTTGTCTCAACTTGCAGGTACCTGGCACAGAAACAATCTATCATTTTGAAGACTCCTATATGCAGCAATACTCTCATTTAACCATGACTGTGCTGGCTACATTAGAGGGAGGTGTAATTTCCAAATGAGATAACACTGTGTGATTACCCAGTGTCAAAGGTGACTTTAGTTATTTCATTAAGTTTTTACACCCCTTGCGATTTTTACAGTGTTGCCAGCATCCTAGTCTGTCTTGAAATCAGAGTTCTCTGATTTCATGTGATTACCTTGGGAAGGTTCCAGGTATGTTTATGTGGGATTACCACCTGAGTGTATCTTCTTCCCTGCTTACTCAAGTGGTGCGTCCAGATCATCTTTCAAGGAGCCTATAAATATGTATATTATACCCAAATAAATTCAGATATGAAGCTCACATACTTGACTTCTCCCTTCTGCTTCTCTGGTGACATGTTTACAGTGTAACCCCACAGTTTCTCTCCCATTTGACATAGAAGGTAACTATAACCAAAATGAACTATCAACTTTTAATTTTTTTTTACAGAATGTAAAAGACATTCATATATAGGTCTCACTGTAATTTTGTTTTGTGAATAAGAGAGAGAAGGTCTTGTTAAATTATAAGAGTTCAAATGAGGTGGAGTCAGTGTATTGGAGAAAGGCTCTGGGTCTGTCCCCTCCCCCAGGATACCATAGTGGAAGGAACCCTGTTCAACAGAAATATAATATTACATATCTCTTTTCATCAAGTAGCCTCATAATTTGCATACACTCCTTGTTGTATGCCATATATGATACAGAAGTGTGGTCTGGATGTGGACATCATGCGTTTTTAGATATATATGCCTCTGGTACATTGGGATACTACAGATAGTTGCATTAAAATATTGTTTCAACATTTTTTTCTTTAAAAAAAAAGGCATTTTTAAATTTAACAGTTTTTGTTCAACAAGAACTTTTGTTAAATATAGTGTCTTCTATTTGGAGCACAGGACTTGTTATTTAGGATCAGCTTATAGGTTCATTTGCTTTAACATCCTTTGCTGACATTAACCAGCATAGTAAATTTCAGAAGAAAGCAGATGAAATCCCATTGGTGGTTATAACTTTTTTCTCAGTAAAATAAAACAGAATTTACAAGCAGCTGTTTTCTAATACTTAGCTGTATCCACATTCATATTTTAAAATAAATGCGGACACTATCCTAATTTTTGTTTCTGGAAGCCAGCTTAACTTTCTTTCTCTTAGTTCTTTTCAATCTTCAAGACAACAAAAGGTGATGAAAAAGTCTTTGTGGTGAATCCCAAGACCAAGATATCCCCAAGGCAATGTGGTTAGTGCAGAACCAAGAAAAGCACTTAATCGTGTAGATAGAATCCTTTTAGTAAGCAAATACGAGCCTATTAAAAACTCGTCTTTAAACAAAGCAAAGAATAGCACTAGGTAGAGATTTTGTTGGATTTGCAGATATATTCTCTCACTGCTCATGCAGCAGGCTTTGTCTCTGTGCCTGCCCCAGGTGTTGCCGTCCTGATCACACGCCAGGACCACACAGGTGCTGAGGAGGAGCTCGGTTTTATTTAACAACCCTTCTCGTGAATCGAAATAACACCGAGAGTCAAAACGTGAGCGTTTGCACCCCTCCCCGGTTTGTTGTTTGGGGTTTTTTAATCCCTACAGGATTAAAACACCTCTCCCCCGCTCCTGTAAGCAAGCCGAGGGGGAGCCAGCGGCGGCGGTGAGGAGGAGGCAGCGCGGAGGCCGGGCCGCTCGGGAGCCGCGCCCCGCAGGTGAGAACCTCCGGCGGGGCGGGAGGAGGAGGGGACAAGGGACAAGGGGAGGGGTGTCCCCGCGGGGCCCCGACNGGCACCTGCTCCCGGCAGGGCGGGAGACGGCCAGCGGGACAGGGAGGGAGCGAGGGAGGCATCTCCGCGGGCTGGCCGCTGCCAGCAGCACGGCGCCGAGCCCGCGGACGGAGCTCCATCTGTTTCCTTCTAGGACGTGGTGGGCATCCTCATCCTCTGCCTGCTTCCTGCGGCGGCCGCGCTGGACTTCAAGTACCACCACACGGAGGAGCTGGAGGCGTACCTGAAGGGGGTTCATGCCGCCAACCCCTCCCTCACCCACTTGCACAGCATCGGGCGATCGGTGGAAGGTGAGGGCGGAGGGACGAGGGGAGAGAAGGCTTTTTGTTCTAATTAAATCGCGGCAGGTGTGGGTGAAGGTGGCGTTTCCTGGGTGCTTGCTGGCGGCGGGGCTGCTCTAACAAACCTCTGTGAAGTTTCGTCTTCCTCTTGCTTAAGCGTGAATAACACACTCTGGCTGAAGCATCGTACGTGTCATCAGGGTAAAAGTTCTCCCAACACTTACGTTTCTGAGAGCTGGAAACGTCCTGAGTGGCAATTTCAGCAAGAGGGCCGTCCCTGTGGAGCGTAGGGTGTGTGGGACCCCTTGGCCAAGTGTCCGTCCTGGGTGGGACTGTAATTAAAGACGTGTGTTTTCTATCGTGTGGTTGTGTTAAAAATACCTTCTGATACAAGGTCCTGTGCTGTAGATGAAGAATAGGATTTCGGTCTCGAACCTCACAGGAAAATGTACTGAAATCAATAATCACCTTTCTGACCTTATATGAATGTTTTAATTCCTCTCTCTATGATTGGTACTTTTTTTACTATAAATTTGGGGGGGAGTGGCTAAGTTTTCAGAAGAGATTTAAAAGATTAGTGTTTATTAGCATATAGACTTTATTGTACGTCTGTTTAAGCAAAAAAAAAAAAAAAAAACCAAAAAAAAACCCCAAAACAACCAAAAAACCCACAAGAAAACCCAAAAAAAACCCCACTAAAAAGCCCCCCAAACTGCTTTACTAAACTTGAATTCGAGAAACTAAATCACTCTGAGAAGAGCTATAAAACTAGATAGAAAATCCACTCTTTAGAAAAATCATCTGTTCCTCTAATCCCATTTTGTACCACTGGAAGCATTTGTAGCATCTATTATCAAATCCATGCTTGTGTTTCAAAAAATAAAAATCTGTATTCTTCTTGGTAAATGATCGTGAAGACATTTTCATGCCTTCTCCATTGTTTTACCATCTATCTCAAAGCAGACAAGGAATCTTAAAGTTATTTATACTGTGTTGGTTTTGGTTTCATCAAAGGCAGAATTAGATTGGATTATATTATTCATCCGTTCAAGAGGCTAGTTCCTGTAAGGACAGTTCCCTCCAGTACAAACTAGCAATTATCCACATCCTCATTTTCATACCTTTAGAGAACTGAGCTAGTGTTCTGATGATAGAACTAGATTATGACTTTTATGCCAGCAACTCACTGGCTTATCTTTGTGCAGGTAGGCAAAAACCTTTCATCCAACCTGAGAGATTGAAACTTTGGCTTTTACATATCTAGATACCTAAAAGCTGATAACATGAGGTGTTCAACTTGTCTGAGTCCCATCAGCATGAAAACCGGAAAAGCATCGTCTCTTGATGGTGATTGAGCAATGCGCATCATTCAGATTTTGATATATTGACTTTTGCTTTGCCAAACTCTAAGAGAACTGTGTGGGCTCTCCTTGCTGTTATTCTCAGTGTCACGTAAAGCAGAATGGCAGTGAAAAATGTTTAGTGCTCCTCAATTCTTTCAGTTTTCTCTAAGTGTTAGGAGATTCCTATCTTTGTTGAGAAATGAGCCTTCAGAGTCACCTGGAATATGGTAGGGAACAGTCTGAATTAGGGTCTAATTTGGTTTTTTTCCTTGAACTAATATAAAGTTTTATGTCAGAAGTGGCTATATAATTTTGGTGAAAATCAAGTTTCAGTTCTGGTCCATGGGTTGAAGTTCTGTTCCTCTATTCTCAGCTAAGCTGACGTGAGCAGGACTGAGCGTGCCGACGCTTGTATGGGTTTCCTAGTGTTGTCTTCCTGCCAATTAGCTAAACCGTGATAGCAACATGTACTTCTTGTTAGTGAGAAACAGAAATTAATTTAAGTACTATAAAACTGAGATCAATGTTATATAGTAAGTTGATATTCCTGACATAAAAATTCTTGTTGATGAATACAATATCCCATGGATCAAAGTAACACCTCTAAATCCAACAGACATTATTTTGTTATTATCATGAATGGCTATTGTTCCCATGTTATTTGTTAATCTATGTTTTACTCCAATTTTATCTAATAATTGAATATTTTATACTGCCATCTAGACTTGGATTATGAAGAATGTGAAGTAAAGGCCTGAGTTTTGGTCAGTGTGTGTAGACCCAGAGCTCAGTAAGGATATAAAAATCCACTTTTAAAAGCCCAGATGTGGAGAGTGATAGGATCCTATGTATTTCCACTTCAGAAAGTGATTGCATGTATTCAAGAGAAGTCTCTAAACCCTCTTCATGTCAGAAGTCTCACCTGCTTCAGGCAGATCATAAAGTCATTTAGGTCTGGAGGCTATCTAGTCTGAGCTCCTGTTCAAAGCCAGGCTCACTTGAAAGTTAATTATGCTGCTCAGGCCCCTCTCCACGCTACTTCTGAAAATCTGCAAGGGTGGATGTTCTACAGACTCTCTGGGTACCTGAGCCACCTTGCAGCCCATAGGCTGCACAGCTGCAGCCCAGCCAGTCTGCAGTCTGTACCTGCATGAGGTTATTTTCTTGAGTTGATAATCCAAACATGGGGTTCTTTTGTTCCAGGTGCAGGATTCTGCATTTATCTTGGTCAAACTCCATGAGTTTGCTGTCAAGAAATTCCTTCAGCTTACCAGGGGCCCCCTGAATGGCAGCCCTGGCCCTGATGAAGATATTAAACAGCATCAGCCCCAGTAGTGACCCTTGAGGAATGCTGCTAATAATTTGCTGTCTCTTGAACCACCAGTTGCTCAGTCCAGTCAGCTTCTGATCTTACTGCAGTCTATTCCTCTAATCCATATTCCCATCTTGTTTGCAAAGACACCATTAGGTTGACTAGACACTGGGACGGGCTGCTCAGGGAGCATCCTTGGAGGCACTCAAAAGCTGTCTGAACACAGTCCTGGGCAGCTGGTTGTAGGTGGCCCTGCTTAAGGAGAGGAGCTGGACAAGGTGACCTCCAGAGGTCCCATGCAATTCCTGAATCTGTGATTCCACTGAAAGTCTTGCTAAGGTCAAGACTAAAGAAATAGGGTGCTTTGCTCCCTCTCACTAAGTCGGTAATTTCTGCATAAAACCCAAAAAGTGTGATTTGTTATGGATAAATTTGAGGTGAGATTTACATAGTGTGTTTATTTGATGCATGTAGGCTGTAATAGCAATGTGCACAACAGAATCTGTATCAAGATCCTCAATGGAAAATGAATGAAAAGATGCCAAATTTGTTTTGTGGTGATTTACATTGCCATATAGAAATTCCCCCCTGCCAGGTTACTGGGAGCAGCTCTGCCAAATTACTGGGAACAATGTGTTCTAGACAGGCAATAGCCTGTTCAGTCTCCAGATCTGATTTGGAAGCTATGACATTTAATGATGATCTGCCAAGCTACTATCCTTAAATGAGAGGAGAAAGGAGTTTAAAATATGTAGCTCATTGGCTGACAAAATGGAGTGTTACCTTTTGCTCTAATTTAATAGGAATTCTCAAATCCCTCAAGATTTGTAGGTGATTTGTGTGTGAGAAACCTGACATGGTCTTAGCAGCAGATAGGCAGAGGTATGTGATGGCCCAGAAAATACCTTAATTCTTTTATATTGTTTCAGGTGTGTTGTTGAGTAAAGGTGCAAAAGCTTTCAGTCAGGAGTTGAGTTTTCTAATATGTCCACTATCAGAACAGTGTGTGCACTCTACAATAATAGAGGAATCTGCAGAGCTGCATCAGTCTGGGATGGGAGAATGGGACCTGGTGTCATATTCACTAAACATGTCATACTTAATCATATTAACCCATCCTGCCTAATGCCACCTCAGTGAAAAACAGACTGTCTCTTCAGCAAGCAAATCTTAGAGTGCATTACCAAAAGGAAAATTGTCAATGCATGTGCATGATCTGTGGCTTTGCACTGTTCAAGATAAAGTGCTGCTGTTATTCTTTGAAAAGAAAATGAAGGTGGCGGGAAGCCGACTTAAGGATTCTAACAGACCTGATGACCTCCTTAGGAGGACAAAACCAGCCAGCTATTGGAAGAGTGGAGTAACTTTTGTAGTAGATCCACACTCTAAAAAGTCTTTTCAGATACACTCTGGATTAAGATAAAGTGATAGCATTCTAATTACAGCTTGGTTTAGATCTAGATTTTCTGGAGGCCAGTCTGCATTTTTAGAATTCCAGTTGACTTGGGACAGTTGTAAACATCCTCAGGCCAGATTCTGCTCACTGAGGGTAAGGTTGTGTATGGTTAAAGTACCCATGTCTTTATCTAGTGAAGTTTCAAAGTTGACTTTATATATTAATATTCCTTTGGGAGATTTTATCATTGGAGAGACAAAAACTAAAACAAACTGATTTTGTTGTGGTTCCACCAGAAATTCTCAGAAATACCTGGCAAAAGAGCTGTCCTGAAAGACACTTTGGTTGAGAACTATGTGGTTTAATCATCCAGTTCTGATGAACAGAATATTGGTGGTGAACACCAATATTCAGTTGCTCTCTCTGTTGCCCTTGGACAGACACATTCTATCCATTAATCTTGAAGTGCTAAATTTAGGGGAGTAGTAAATCTTGTTATTAGCATTTTGCTATCCCTGCTCTGTAAACAAGAGAGGCTGAACTGTGCAGGGGGTGTGTGTATGGTTGCTGTGAGTTTTACAGTGCGTGCAGGACTCTCCCGTGGCTGCAGCCATGGCCTGGGCTGTGGACTGCAGGGATGGTGTGCTCAGCAGGACTCCCAGCAGACCAGGTTTCTCTGTGCCTGTTGGAGCACATTGTGTCTCCTTCCTGCCTGCATTCCTGTGTTTTCCTCCTTGGCAAACAGGAGGGAATGAGCATGCCCAGGTTTCCATCTGATGTGCAATTAAAACCTTTAGGCATTTATGAGTGGCTATTGAACAGGGGAGTATTGATTTAAGGTTCACTGCACTTCAGTGAAAATATTTAATAATAAAAGGTCAGGCATTGTACTTATCTCCTCTATACATTAGTAGTCTGTGTACGTAGCTGGGAAAAAATAGGAACTCATTTTAAATTA